TTTGTTAAATGGCATTTAAATATATAAAATAAATATCAAAAATATAAATCTTTGTTTTACTATGGTTGCAAAGATCAAAAAATTTCTATAGGTGACACGGCACCAGAGTTAAGTTAGGGTTTTTCAAAATGCTGACACGCCGAGCTCAAAAGGTTCGCCATCACTGGCCTACAGCCTGCTGACCACAGCCCGCCTGGCTCACCCAAGAGCGTACACCCTGCAGAGAATATGGGGGGGACTAGAAATGAGGCTCACACAGGCCTGTGTTATATGCACAGAGCATATCTATGCAGATATAACATCCGTGCCCTATCTCTCTCTATATATATTTCATATCTCTGTGAAATCAATAAAAATACATTTTAAAAGTATATAAAATTAAAAAAGTAAATGTTAGCCAACCGCCACTTGTCCGTGGACAGATTCAAAACAGAGGCAGCCCAGAGCAGAACCGACCCACACTGTCACGTGAATGACCTGGGAAGGCTTGCATCTGAACAGTCGTGTGCTTATCATGTACACAGAATGTACACGCTTGTACACCCATGTACATGCTTGTGTGGGAATACACGTGTGTACTCACGTGTGTGTCTGTATACATTCCTGTGCATGTACAATCCATCTCCAAGACAAACAAAGTTATACTTGAGTTTATTTCTTCCTGCCCCCTACCCAGCACCCGTGAAATGCGGAAACATACACGTATGTGCCTTCCTGTGCACCTACGCGTGTCCGTATTTATGTCCATCCTGTGCTCCGTCACTCACTGGTGTGGCCTCGGCAACCAGTGGCCGCCGACAGCAGCGCGGTGGCCCTTCTGTGGGTTTGGCGAGCCGTGCGCGAAACCGTGTTATGGCTGAGCCTTAGGAATTCCACCTGCGCGTTAGCACACGCTGACACGCCGACTACCGGGACATAGCATGTTTGCATAGCGTGTCCAACAGGGCAGGCATGCTCTCTACCTCCAACAGTTGCTTTTTTTGTATTTTTTTGGTGTGATCTTTTGTTGTTGTTTTTTACGGAGCTACTAAACCTAAGACGGCCAGCGTTCACATAGAGATATTTTGTTATAGAAAAAAAAAAAAAAACGGGGAAGATGCGATCAGAGGGTGTCCCCGCTGCTCTCTTATCTACATCCACCTCTATCTCCTTCGGAACGTTGCTGTCTAAACAGCTCAGGGAAAATCGAGTGTGGCTCTCCCATCTGTGCGATCCGATGGTTTTGGATTAAAGGGAAAATTACCATGGCTGCGCGCCATCTCTCTCGTGGGAAGCGTTAGAAATCTGCAGCAGGCATGTGCCCAGTTCTCCAGCCTCACGCCTGGTGCGTTTGCATAGCGTGTCCCCATATCACACGGAATGTGGCCTCGGATGCTTGTACAGTGGTTGGCACCCTATGCTGTGTGTGTGTGTGTGTGTGTGTGTGTGTGCGCGCACGTGTGTGTTAGACATTCTCTCCCTCTCTCTCTCTATTTATGTCCATCCTGTGCTCCGTCACTCACTGGTGTGGCCTCGGCAACCAGTGGCCGCCGACAGCAGCGCGGTGGCCCTTCTGTGGGTTTGGCGAGCCGCGCGGGAAACCGTGTTACGGCTGAGCCTTAGGAATTCCACCTGCTCGTTAGCACACGCTGACACGCCGACTACCGGGACATAGCATGTTTGCATAGCGTGTCCAACAGGGCAGGCATGCTCTCTACCTCCAACAGTTGCTTTTTTTGTATTTTTTTGGTGTGATCTTTTGTTGTTGTTTTTTACGGGGCTGCTAAACCCAAGACGGCCAGCGTTCACATAGAGATATTTTGTTATAGAAAAAAAAAAAAAACGGGGAAGATGCGATCAGAGGGTGTCCCCGCTGCCTGCCCCCTTCCCTGTGGTCCCCGTCGCTGTCATGGAGCTAACTCTCTACCCTGTCTGTCTCGGGAAAACCGTAGCCACGCCCGGTGGGTCCGGTGGGATGACGTCTGGCCAGCATGGGCTCAGTTTAGCATTTTCATGTCTGTTCTTCGCGTTCTCTGGCGGCCGCTTGTAACATCGTACGGGTTCCCTCGCAAGTGAATTTACTTGAATAAAACTTTTCACACCTGCCAACGTGATGTTTGTATGAACGTATGATTTTACCTTTTCTTTTAAAAATACAAACAAATAAAATTGCCTCTAAGAAATGTAAAACTTAAGTGTGGCTAATTGACAGTTTTTCTTAACTCAATCACACTAATTGTACAATGTGTTGTGTGTGTATATATATATATACATATATATATACACACACACACACATATACGTATATAAACACACACACATATATACACACACATATATACGTATATACACACATGTACACACACAAACATATATACTAGAGGCCCGGTGCACGAATTCATGCAAGGGGCTCGGTCCTCGCAGCCCCGGCTTCGTCCAGAAGGTCGTCTGGAAGGACGTCCAGCTGTCCGGTCTAATTAGCATATTATACTTTTATTATATAGGATATACGACTAGTTGCCTTAGTTTCATAGCTCATTGACCGTGGGCCTACAGCAGTGATGGCAAACCTATGACACGCGTGTCAGAGGTGACACGCGAACTCATTTTTTTGGTTGATTTTTCTTTGTTAAATGGCATTTAAATATATAAAAGCCTCCCTCTGGGCCCCGCAGACACCACGACACCCAGGCCTCCCTCTGGGCCCCGCAGACACCACGACACCCAGGCCTCCCTCTGGGCCCCGCAGACACCACGACACCCAGGCCTCCCTCTGGGCCCCGCAGACACCACGACACCCAGGCCTCCCTCTGGGCCCTGCAGACACCACGACACCCAGGCCTCCCTCTGATTCCCATGCAGCTCCGAGCAGAGCTCTGTGCCGTGTTCCGGAGGGAAGTGGATCGCGTGGACACAGAGAGCCAGGGAGCATGTGTGTCCAGAGGCGGGAGATAGCGGGCGGAGAAGAGAAGGACTTGTCAGCGTCTGAGATAAGATCGGAGGGGGGAGCCCGCTCATAGCATTGATGGAGCGCCTGCCTGCCAGGGGCTGCCGGCTTTCTCTCCCCTAATCACAGAAGCTGGCGTCAAACCATTACTCAGACCTGGCCAGAGGGTGGGTGTGGGAGAGAGGGGAGTGAGAGGGGGGCATCCATTATCCCTCCGTCCAGCAAAGGAGAGGCGATAAGAGTTACTCTAAGTGGTTTCACCCACAGGGACAGAGAGGAATGGGCCGCGGCCTCGGCGAGAGAGGAGAAACGCTTGACATGAGTAAATGCATCTGTGGCCCCGGCCGGTGTGGCTCAGTGGCTAGAGCGTCGGCCTGGCGACCGAAGGGTCCTGGGTTCGATTCCCAGCCAAGGGCACGTACCTGGGTTGCAGGCTCCTCCCCGGCCTGGGGCCCTGTTCGGGGCACATACAGGAGGCAGCCAGTCCATGATTCTCTCTCCATACCTGGGTTGCAGGCTCCTCCCCGGCCCAGGGCCCTGGTCTGGGCCAGTGCAGGAGGCAACCCATCGATGTGTCTCTCTCACATCGATGTTTCTCTCTGTGTCTCCCCCCCCCTTCCACTCTCTCTGAAAATCAATGCAAAAATATCCTCGGGTGGGGATTAACTGAATGAATGCATGCATGCATGCATGCATGAATGAATGAATGCATGAATAAATGAATGCATGAATGAATGAATGTATGAATGAACGAATGCATGAATGAATGCATAAATGGATGGATGAATGAATGAATGCGTGCATCTGTGGGGCCACGTTGCTAACCTGACCAGCTCAGGGAAGGCCTTGCAAACTCAGAGACCTGAAGTCAGCACAGAGGATGGGCTGACATGAAAATGATTTAATTAAAAAGCAGTTTACAGCCCTGGCCGGTTTGGTTCACTGGATGGAGCGTCGGCCTGGGGACTGAAGGGTCCCGGGTTCGATTCCAGTCGAGGGGCAGTACCTTGGTTGCAGGCACGTCCCCAGTAGGGGGCAGGCAGGAGGCAGCTGATCGATGCTTCTCTCTCATCGATGTTTCTAACTCTCTATCCCTCTCCCTTCCTCTCTGTAAAAAAT